TCCAATAAACACAATTCAATAATATCTTCACTTAACAAAATTAAATTAACAAAATTTAAAAGATTTTTTTTACAAAATCCGGGTCTTCTATTGCGAATTATTTCGCCATCAAAATTTTGTTGATGTCCAAATTCGAGCAGAATTTCGAAAGATATCTAACTCCAGTAGAAGTTGGACAGTTTTACTCATTACTAGATATAGGATTGTCCAAATTCCATCGGAATTCAGATGATATACGCAATAGTTAGAAGTAACAGAAATCAGTTTAATTGCAATGAATATAATACCGATTTCGCAAATAACTTATGTATTCCTATTCTTTTACATGCATGCATTTTCTTTTCTTCTTGTTGATATGCAATGCATTGTCGCCAAATTCATCGGAATTCCTTTCTCTACTCGTAATCAAGGATATGCTCTTCTTTTCTATGCTATTCATTTCATGAAGATTATGATGTCTCTACTTGTATTTTCCCTTTTTTTTGTGCGCATCTCTTCCATATGTTCATCGACTGTTTGATTGTGGTTTATGGATCGGTATATATATATAACAATATCTCGTTTCGTGTTGATGATTTTAAAAAACAACGTTTTCTTTCAATTCTTCATTTTTGAACAAAACACAGAATGTGTATTTCATTAATTATCGGAAAATAGTAATAGTCATCCGTGCTTCATCAGCAGGTGAACAACGATCATCGGACGTGGCCGCTGATATTGTTGCAGCTGGTTCAGTGGGAAAAAAACATGTTAAAGTGAAAAAGAAATAGTTAAACAATTTACTGAAGCAATCGCTACTTGGCCATCGTTGCAATCAGATACGACAATAGCAACAGATGTTCGACGAACTTCATCCATCAGTAATATAATATCAGTAACACCAACGTCATTTATTACATTAGATTGAACTGTGCAACAAAATCGTTCATATAATGTTGATTTATGAAAAATAATATAAATGTAGTGGCAAAAGGGTTGTGCCAATATTGATATCACCTCCCACTGACTTTCGTTTTCTCTTTCCACTTTTCTCTTTATTTTATATCGATTGTTCTTTCCTATGTTCATCTCTCTCTCTTTCTCTCTCCTATATAAGCGTGTATTGTATGTGAACTAGTTATATTCTCGAGATGTGAAGTATCTCAACAAACGTCATTTCTGAGAGTGGCGGTAGGCTACTCAATCGAATTTGTCGTTACACTGGTCAATTGTTGTAGATGAAATAAAATGGTATAAAACTAATCGTGCTAATCATCGTGTGTGTATGGATGGATACGCTTACAGTTTAATTCATGAATCATTAAAAAATAATGAATGTGGATTTCTGTGTACGTAAAAAGCTGGTGGCTGTCGAGCTGTTGTAAATGTAATTAACGATTCAATCATGTGTAGGATTTCAACTCATGTTAATCATAATCATTCACGAAGTTCCTATGATATGACACCTTTATTAATATATCAAACAAACAAAGAAAGGGTATAACAACGGAAACAGCACCTATTACTCGTATTATATAGGATGAATATATGACACATCATTTAGATCCTGATGATCAGCGACGTTTTCTATTATCATTAGCACAACATAAATGTTACATGTATATACTGAATTTGCATGCGAAATATCACACCTTAAAGAATTTTAACATACGGCTATATTGCTTAAATATTTTTAGCTCTTGGAAATTCTATAGAATACGTGCTATGGTGGTATCATCTAATCCTGAATCACCAGGTTTTGACTTATAAGAATTATATCCAACAACAAATGATAACTTGAAATGTTGTCTGATTGTAAAATTGTTCTAATGACTGGTACATTCAAAACATGTTCAATATTGTTTGCACAAGTTTATATTACAATGGGTAAGTATCTCGTTAGATATAAATATGTGCTTTTTAATCAACTGTATTGTTTTCAGATCTCCATGAATTCTTCTATTTTTAATGACTATTAGTTCTTTTCGTTGGGTACTCGACATCAAAACGTACACAATATATATACAAAAAAGTCTGTAATATTTATAGAAGCAGCATTTGATGATGAATTAAAATTTTGAACGACAACATGCATATGTCACAGGGAAATTTGAATTTCAGGCAAAATTGTTTTTTTTTGGCGCTTCGATCAAATTCAATTTTGACTAGGCAGAAATCGTTCTCTGTTCGCGATTATTTTATATCATCTAACTCCCAATTTCTTTCATTTTCATAAACAAAGTTCATTGAGTGTTAAATAGCTTTCGATATTTTCTTTTGCAATATCAACAATGACATTACAACCATTAACTTATTCTCATCCTATTATCAATGATTTTGCACGTGAAAAATTTTATGAACTTGCTAAAAAAAATATTCAGTCGTTAAATCCTAAATTTCGTACTAAAGCTGCTATCACTCGTGTTCAAAGCAAAAGAATAATCAATGTAGTTCAGAACAACCTATCTACTGAAAATGTTTCCGGTCGTTTTTCTCACTGGTGCAAGCAAACGTTCGCGCTTCGTCTTATCGCTGGTCATCAACTTTTATGTGATTTTAAAGAAGTTAAACCTGTTCTTTTATACGAAGATATATACGATGTTTATCAGACAAGCCACAACATGTCGTAGAAAATTTCCTTTCTTTTCGACAGTCACCTTATCTCAACCGGTTGTTCTTCAGAATACACACACCCTATGCACACATTGGCTGGCACGACAGCGAGTGTTGGTGAAGGGGTGTGCGTATTCTGAAGAAGTACTTCTCAACCCATTTTCATTGCTTGCTCAAGAAACGTTCGATTCTTTTAGACAATCACTCCACGTCAATCCATTTTCATCAAAACAGGGCATACACATACTGTAGATAAAAAATTATTTACTTATAATAAAATTTAACCAATTGTCAACGTTTCCATGTTCCCATCATCGAAAAAATTACTAATTTATTATCACATAAAAAAATACTAAGCGTCTTATATCTTTGTCATTAAATAAACTAAGAAAAACTTTAAAATTTGAATAAACAAATGGACTTATATCTTTATAAAAAATATCTTTCTTGCAAAATCAAAGCTAACAATTTCAATCTCAATTAGATTCCAAACATATTTAGATTTCGAAATTGGTGCACTTCAAGCTTTAGAAAATTCGGTAGGTATTAGATTTGAACAGAAGATATTTTTAATAATGTAGTTTGCATAGAAATTCGTTACAGAAAGATTCTTTTCATTGCTTGTTATTTGTTCTAGTTGCCTAATATTTGTATTCATAGTTGCTGGTATCACTCTACTCAATATTTCTATCGAAACATACAAAACGTGGGACTAGCATCAATGTATGAGAAACATAAAGATGTGAATAAGTGGTTAAGAAGTTTTGTGATTTTACCATTGGTAAAATATAACGCATTGTATGCCACCGTTAGGTAATTAATGGATAATCCACGATGATCAAATAAATTATTGGTGAAGCTTACTGAATATTCCGAAAGATAATGGATTACATGTATGAGAGCAAAATATTGAAATTTGGGACCAATTCATCGCCAGTGTGATAAATACTGTGGAAGGTGTAATAGAAATATCAGAGCTCAGTATTGAATAAAATGAGATGATTTTAAAATAACATCTTAAATGTATGGTTTTTGATACTATTTTAGCATAAATTAATCTACTTCAACATCGATTTGGTACACATGCACAATTATGAAGCTTTATTCATTTTCTTAAAGGTGAAGAATCATTAGTAATGATGAGAACAAGAGAAGTACGAAGCGGTGATTATCGTCATACAATCACACCATTTTCACTTGGTATTCAACGGGATGTGGATGTAGATGACGGGATGGTTGTGGAGTGCGGCAAATATGAATATTAATCCACATACCCACATCCTTATTTAGCTTCTTTGTGTCATTATTAGCATCGTTCACGTCAAAAGCATACGTTTACATACACAACCAGAGAAGAGAGTGAGAGGAAAATGGTGTGGATATGGGTGTATGTAAAGTAAGATTCATATCCTCACTCACACCGACGCCCAAACCCCGCGCTTTCCGTTAAAGATTCATTTAAGTAGGACAAGTCCTTACAAATAGAAATGTCTTCAATACGATTTTGCACGCGCTATCTTTTCGTAGAGTTTTGATTAAGTTTTCGAGTTCAAATGTTTCACGAAAAAAAAAGCTTATTTTTCTTGCAAAACTCTTGTTTATCAAGCATCAACTATCGATGAAAATTCGGTTGGGTCACCAAATCTCATGAAGACTTTATATTGAAGATGTAAAATTTTGTCTTGAGCTTATGGACCTTCTCTTTAGACTAAAAAGTAACAGAATACATCGATATTCGTTTATTTGAATAAGATAAACTGTTTGAAGTAGAAAATAATTATTAATTCATATTGATCATTCATCGAATATTCATTTGTTTCTTGGATCCCTCGGCCCTAATGCCGGCATATTAGTGCGTTCGATTGGACTTAGTCTGTCGGTATTACGATGTATTCTTGGACTAGCTGCGCCCGAACGCAGTGACCCACCAAAATTACTGCCAGGCGGATACCAGAGATTTCCAGGTCCACTCGGATAATATCCATTGTAGTAGGCTGGATCGCTGTTAGGAAATCCATTGTTCATTCCTAATCCTCCATAGGGTATGCCTTGACCACTTCCATACAAATATGGTTGGTTGTATCCATACGCTAAAAGAAAACAAAGAGGAGACAAGGCGTATATCAACCTATTCACGAACGGTTATAACTATTGAATTGGTTTTGTTGATAGTAGCCTTGCCAATACGGATTCCAACCTGGACCATTTGGATTGTAGGCAATACCAGTCTCTGGATAAGCAATGTAGCTTTGCATTCCGTAGTACCCACTTGTTGCAAAAGTATTTCCACCTGGGGCAAGAACATTCGGCCATATTCCACGTCGTTTACGAAGTGCTCGACAGTCAATTCCTGAAATGGTCAATATTACGGTTAAGTTTTATGCTTGATTCAGACTTTTGAGTGAGAAAAAATGTTTACCAGTATTTGATATAATCAACAAGAGGAGAAACACTTTCAATTTTGACATTATCAATCGTTTTATCTGAAGGATTGTGTGACGCGTATCGTGAAATGATTGAGATGTAAGTCTGCGCAACGTTTAGACGAAGTTTATACAGAGAAAAGACTAATCGATTTGATTCGATTTTTCACACTCACTTACTTTCTCTTTCTCTCTCCTTTTCTGGTCTCGGCATTTCGTTGTTTCTTTCTTACTGGCATGCTTTGGAGGTGAGAGTGAAAGAAAGAGAGGGAGAAAGATCGGCCTTGATCGTTTCGTCGTTGAGTTCTGCTAATGCACATTTTACACTCGATCATTTATGATCACGCGCATTTTATTCATGGCCATTGAAGGAAAAATGACAAGTGCACATAATATTACCATCATCAAGGTGAATCATGGAATGGAAGCACAAGAGAAACAGCAGTGATAGATGTGTCTATAAAAATTGTAAACATCTATTATGGTTTAATTTTCTAGAGCAAATTGTCTTGAAATGCTATCGACTATGGATCTTAATTCTCAATGAACATTTCCACACAGTTACATGCTTACTCCTACACTTTTTTAATTTCTTCGTTGCCATAATGTTCTTTTCTCGATAACGTTTCATTTCCACCTAATATACTCAATGAATAGCATGCAAGCTTAATTTAAGTATTTAATTTAAAATTTCATCTTGATCAACGTTTATCATCGATATAATCAGTCAATTTAATCGAACCGATTTTCAAAGTCTACAAAAACACTCATTTTTAATTGAAGAGTTCTTGATGTCATCGTGTAGATATTATTTTCTCATCAGGTCAAATCCAGTAAGGAGGTACAGTATTGACGGGAATAGAGTTGTCTTAAAGAAAGCATAGAAAATATTTTAGACCCGCGTTGGGCGGATGATTTCGAAGTAACGCTCAGTACGAAACCTTTATTACAGTAACTCAGAAAAGAGTTCGATACAGAATCTCTGTGTTACGAAATTAAAAAAAAAGAATCTTCCGTGTACTTGATGAACATCCCTTTTCTCTTAGAGTGCAGTATCTGTAACTCTGGGGCCTATCGTGCACCCAGCTGATCATTGTAATTACAGTGAGTAAGCAAATATTTTTCGATCTCAAAATTAAAACAATATACAAAAACATCAATACTCTGAAGATGATAAGTATTTACTGATATTCGAGTGAAAATATGTGGTACCATTATTTATGAAGGGTAGAAACATGGGACAGTTAACGGAAAAAAACTGAATCAAACTCGAGATCAATTATCTCGAACAACCAAATAGTTTACGATGTTGACAGGACGTGCTATCTTTCTCACTTCGTCGTTTTTTCAAGTGGACACGAGAGGTCTTCAATAAAGAAAAACAACAAGGAAAAGAAATCATTCCGAGAATATGATTTAGAAAGAAAGTTTGGTGTTACGATCCATCATCATGATCGATATACTCTTAGTTTCATATTCGAATTCCTCGTGATTTCACTATTCTTTACACTATGGATAAAGTGAATACTGATTTCTCTCACGACTGTCTGTATTTACAATCAATGACGAGTAAAATCTGGATGACAAAGTGCATCAAGTCCAGCAGATGATTGACTATTGCGTTCAGTCTTTGGCTGGAAAGAAAAATATTACTGTCCATGGACAAATTTCATCCAAATTAACATTCAACAAATTGTAAAAGAAAAATATTACTCCACAAAATTTGATCGAATGATCGAGTCCGATTGATATTACCGAACGGTATCAGAGCTATTTGCACAGGGTCAACATGTCTTCGGCAAATATATTTTGTGGCTTTACAGTGCCATAGTTCGGCCCACTCTGTCAATACGATTTTCGCTTGAATCATTCCTTCTTTAATATTGTGGAAATGACGTTTCAGAGCAAAGCACAAAAACTAAGTTCATTCTCGCATACGAAAAATCTCTTCTTTTATTTACACATGAAGTACAATGATGGTCTTTCTCCTATCTGTCTCGATTGATGTGAAGTGTACAATGGAGAAATCAATTATCTCAACGATGGTAAAGATGAGAAACATTGTCTCAAGCTCGAGATAGATTAATGTGCTAAGAACGAATATCAATGCCGAGATGGAATGTGTGTGAATAACGTGTGTGCATTAGAAGAGTATACGGCTCTTATTTTTGGTCTAGAATGCTTGGATGGAACTGACGAAGCTCAACACGCAAAGCTACCACAATATACGACGCCGTCGGATGCTAGATGTGAAGAAACTGTGTACCGATCGCCTTAGTAGTTTAACTGTGGTAGATGAGATATGTCACTTTGTGGTTGACCTAAACCTAGAGACAATACTATTTGATTGTTGCTGACTCGTTATTGCTTGTGCATAAAATACTTTTGTCAACAAGTATAAAATAATATACGAAAATAGACAAGAATGTCACACACGAATTAATCCATATTGTCCCTCCTCATCCTTTTTCTCTGCGTTTCCTGTGTGTAATATTCATGTAAGAATAGGCTATGTTTCCAATCGAACAGAGATTGGAGGAACCTGCCTAAACCTCGATTTTGCTTACTATAATCAATATGAATGTCCATTTCTTATTTTGACTTTTCAAACGAGGAATTACACTAGTCAACATACTCACGAGCTGGACCTGATCGGTGCTGACTATCTGTATAAAGCATTCTTACCACGCGCTAGTTTTCATCAAAGTGAAAATCAGATTCATTATTTAGCTCTTTCTATGTTGTATTGTCGGGCACGAACAAATATATTCCCGAGTGTCGAATCGTGGATGAAATTACCTATTGTTTTTAATACTTTCAATGAGTTCATCGCGACTAGCTCATATAAATTGAACGACAAAAATCGTTTTCACTGTACATTCGAAAAGAAACTTCTCTCATCGACGATAGTGTGAAGCAATGTGACGGCGAAGAACACAGATTGCGTCTCAAAGAACTTGTAACTCATGTCCAGGAATTTCCTTTTTGGGATTTGTGTAACGGCAGAACAGATATGAATGGAAGTATCCATCAAGTTTCAACTGTTCTGATGATCATCATGACGATGGCCTGCTAGCATATTAATCGCACGCAAGACAGAAATGTTGATTGGAACACAGCCACAGATGAGTGCTCTCATTGTCGGCGTCGATGTCTGAATGGCACTTCTCAACGATATTGCCGGCTCTGATTCGTTGTTTTATGTGCGATGGATCCGATAAGATCGATCACCTCTGTAACGAAATTGATCATCAGTATGAGAGCGTCAGCAGCTATTTGGAGTCATTGGAAGACTCTTTACTAATTGAAAAAATGTTATTTTCTCTTCAATCCTCAAGCATTTTATCCACAACACGGGGGCTGAAGCCGATTGAAAAACGTCAATACGATCCACTGAAACACACTGAGCAATAAAAAAATGATATCCGGCGAGCTCGGGTGTGCAATCGAAGTATTGAAATGCTGGTTGGTTAAGAAAAAGCAAAACAAGGTCTCTGTCCACTTGGCTGTCTATAGACCAGTCGATAGGAATGATTCAGAGAATGCAATGTCAACATTGCAACTAAGTTTTGAATTGTTAACAATAGGAAAAAAAGAGAGAAAATAAAAGACTCGATCAACATAAATAATTTTTGTTTTCTTTTCATTGAACAAACAACAACAAAAATACATAAACAAAAGTTCAAGATTTTTTTCGGTTGACATGTTATGAAGAATACAGTATCGTTTTTTAATAAAAAGATATTTCTCATGACTGTGATTCGAATTATCTAATGACAGAATAGAATAGATAAAAAAATTGATGTTTTACATCACAGTTTTACATAGTTTCTCAAGAAACATCCAAATTAACATTTTCCCAACATGTCGAAAATAAATTTCCTGGAAATACTTTCCTAATCGTTTAATATATAAAGTTATAGAGTTTTTCTGACGTTTATTTGTCGTAGATCAAGAAAAATATTAGTAGAGAAAGAAAGTTGGATTGTTTGGAAGATTTCACTTTAATTTAAAATACACGTCGTCTCCTATATCTAAAGAAGCTCATATATAGAAAATAAATGTGTAAAATATCAGTAACAGATCAATTTAAGTATTGTTTTGAAAATGAAATAAGTCATCCAGAACTAACAGCTATTCTGTTTTGGCTGATACTCAGTTGGTGACTGTAAGGAATAAGTTGATATCGATATTCAATACACCGGAAGAAAATACTCGAAGGAATTGTTTTAAGTAGTAATAAGTTAAGGAAAAAATTACCTTGATCGTGCAGTTGATATTGTGCTTTTCTTCTTGAAATATTTGAACTCTTTCTAGAATTAAAAATAGGGCAATATTTCCAGTACATATGTATTTCTGACCATTTATTAAAATTTGACATATGCCTTTCACTGATCACTCAATTTCACTCTCTTGGATCAAGAGAAAAATTAGCACAACACAACCTGAATTCAAGCTCGACTGGGAATGAACATAGACTATTTTTTTCCAACACAAGTTTTACACTTTTCCTTGTGACCTGAATTTTTCTATCGTTGACCGATCAACAATGCCGTCACGTCTGACAGAGGAGGAAGATGATCGCAATAGCACACTTCAGTTCCAATGTCGACTTGGAATGAAATCAGCAATTTTTTGGGACCGATTTCGATTAATTTCTCTCAGTTTTGAGATTTTCTTTAGCCAGTTCATTTCGTCCTATGAGTGAGGGAAAAAATGACGCACATAAAATCTAAATCGAAGCTATGATGTGTTTGCTTGTGCAAGGAAAGAATTGGAGCTCTATTATGATACTCGTCGAAAATTAGTCTCGTTATTTATGAATATCACGGCTATCGGCGACATTCCGCTGCAGCAGGGGAAGGACGAGAGATTTTCACTATATATCATTTTTGACTCCGCGAACTGTTGGAATTAGAGGTATTGCCAGAATATTGCATATGAATGGGGCACTGGTTCCTTATTGTGGCCACACCCGATTACCGAGCCCCAAGTGCAGGGATTAAAACTTTTCATCCGCGAACGTAAAAGACGATTTGGTCGACACTACATTTTCCAGCGCTGGTGCGATGAAATAATCTTCTGTGCCCATGAAATTTTGTATTTCTACAACTAGAGGGTACAATTTCTATTCCATCTTAATACCTTGCTTTAGATACTGACGAATATAAAGCTGGTGCAACCACCTAGAAAACAGTTTTTACCAGGTAAATTTAGAGTTCAATAGGTATAAAATGACACCAAAATCGTTTTGTAACAGTAGTAACTCAACAAAAAAAAAATAACTTTTCAATGGTTTTGCCTCTGAAAGTAACGACAATATTTGGATTACGGTTGAGAAAATTTCGATATGAAAGACATTTGGGCTCGGCTTTCCTCGTGTAGTAGCTGCTGAAATTTATTCTTTATAATACTTCTAAATTCAGGATAGCTTTTGTTCGATGACTGAATAGTGCTTATGATCAAAATTCGCTGATCTAACTAATATTAGTTTGGCATGTCTAAATGCTTCTTTCGGAAGAAATTAGCCTAACGATACTTAATTATCAATCTGGTTCAACTCTTTATGGATTATTCAAAGCTTCATCACACAAATATATTGGTTGATATGTTAATAATGAAACAGTATAATATGGAATCTGTCTAGATTTTGAATCCTTGTTCACTGCTCCGATAACAGTAAGCAATACCATTACAATGTCTTTAATAGGCGCTGCAATGTGTTCCAGAAGATGTTCGTAAATAAATCATTTTTCTGCTTGGGATTATCATCTGCGTTTGTTGCAGGTACACAAGTAGATACAATCAGCAATCCAGCGTCAACTAGTGCTTTGCTACTACCACGTTGAGGAGCCTCTGAAATTGGAATTTGTGCAACATTTTCTCCTCGTTAGGATTTCGAAATTCAGAAACTCTTCAACACTCCAATAAACAGATTGTTACAAATGATACTTGAACGTTGACATTCTCTACGAATCTGTGTACATGAACCATATGTCATTTTAAATTTACTAAATTTATATAGCGTTGTTTGCCGTTTCAGTTGCTAATTTCTTCATAGAGAACATATTTAGGTAAATATCAACATCATCACTATCACTATTGGAATCTTCTTTCAACATCAAAATGTTCTGCTCTTAGAAATGCAATAAAGTAAAACGTTTTGATTTGTTTTGATGCAGTTTGCATTGATGAATATTCCGTTATGTTTTGGACCATCTAAATTTTTCGCTAAGAAAATACAACATTTTCCACTCTGTCCCATTGAAAGACATTTTTGCGCGATTAGATATGATGCTACGCCTCAGTAGATTGATTGTACTCTATGATTTAGTTCACTCTTTGAAGCACTCCAAAAACTGAAAAAAAACTTAATTCATTCACACAAATACTTGGTACTTACTTTCCATTGTACTCCATATACAGAAAAATAAAATACAGTCATGCCGCCTTTTTATCGCTTGTGTACACTCGAGCGGAACTTTCTCAACTTTCTCATAAGTAGCATCTATTTCCTTCGTAACGATCAACCCCATGCTTTACGGTGTTGATGCCATGCCATTAACATCGTTTTTTGCATTTTTTTAATCGTATGCTATATTTATAGTCACCAACACCAACAGCAATGGCTAATTTATGCCGTGTTGCAGCAATATTTTTCTTGATTGCTTCAGTCGTATTTAGATATAATAACAATCTAAAAAATGTCATGCATGTCTCACAATATGCTCACTGACACTTGCTACCAGAGTGTATGAAAAGTCGATGAAAAACAAACTGTTTTCTGTCTCAAAAGTCTACTAAAGATTTTATATCAGAATGATATTAAAATACTAGTCAAATAGACTAAACAGAGGCTGATTTTTAATGATGAAGTCATCTTGTTTGTGGTTTCTGTATTAGAATGATATTAGTAAAGCATGCATGTTGTGAACAACATGGAGTCGAAATCGTAGTCCAGATAGGCAAAATTGATGTTTCTAAAATATTTTACGAACGTAAAACTATTTTGAACAAGGCTTTCTCCAAATTCAAGGGTGAGTTACGGTCTGATGATCTAATTAAACGCTCATAGCTTGATTTTGTGGTGTTTTGGATTGATGAAGTGTTAACTTCGGCATTGCCTTCTTCGATGCAAGCACTTCGAAAAAGAAAGCAAAAGTGTTATGAAAATTTCGGCTCATATTCGAAACATTTTCGAAACTTGTCAACTGAGACGCGATGAGGTCATTAAAATCCTTAAACCGTGTTTTTTTCAAATTCAGCATCTTCTAAAAGTATGACTCATTCATGCACAAACGATGTAGTAATGACATTCAGTAAAATCCTACAGGATATCTGATCGGCACTATAGATGCGATATGAACAGAATATTTCTTTTAACGCACTACTTTGATGTTGTTCTCTAAACTTTTGTCATGAGAGATGGATGCACAATCATCATCGTTACTATCTTCTGAATTCTTAATAGAAGATAATAAGAACAAGAAAAGCATCTTTGCATGCTGCTTTTCTTATCTCATTCACTGTGTTTACGCACATAAAAGAATAACGTAGTTAGTGAAAATGAACTGGAAGTTTCATGTTAATATTTTTCTTTATATTATTGGCTCGTGTCTGTTTATTGTTGGTTCAATCTTTTTTCATCCTCATTTTTCAAAAACTGATTCATTGTACAAAATTGGTGTATTAGCTTTCACATTTGGTTCGATTCTATTCTGTTTGGGTTCATTGCAGCAACTGTTTACCAACTTTCGATCGATTTCTTCTAATGACAATGAATCGCTTATTAATGACACTAAGCCGTTTGATATGGATTTGGCAATATCCATTTGTCGAAATACTATTGGGATTGTAAGTGGTTTGCTGTTCGCAATTGGATCAGTAGTATTTTGGCCTACATTTGGTCATTGTGGTACCCTTATTGGAAATTGGATGTACCGTTGTGGTGCATCTCTTGGTGTGGTGAATAATATGTGGCAACTTATTCGATTACAAATGAAATCGGCAACAGTGACAATGATGAAACTGTTAAGTCTGTTATCATTATTAGGATCAATTGGATTTCTCGTCGGTGGTGGATATTTTCTAGCTGGTGGAAAACATGATACCGAAGGTAGTTTTGCTTGGCTTGCAGGATCACTTGCATTTTTGTTGTCATCAATACTTACATATAAACTATAAAAGCGTGTTCTACGTATGTAATTTATGCTAAAATTATAAATGCATTAATAAAGTACAGCAAAAATATGGAACTTGGCAATATTGTAATCACCATTTCCGTTCCTGAGCAGGATAGCTATCTCTTTTCGTGCACATCTTGTTCGTTAGTAACGCACTCACGTCTTGTCAACTTTCAATCATAACGTCTACAGACACTGAGTGAAGAGTCCCAAAATTCAGCGCCTTTATGCCAGCTATTGAGTTGTTTAATGTCTATAGTTTTTATCTTAATTGGCTTTGCCGCTTACGTTCTATAAGAGAAAGGTATGCTAGTAACGCGCTCCCACAAAATGTCGAGATCAAACATTACCAGTGAAATATTTTCGTAGTAATGTCACTTGTTTATTTGATTTGCCGTTATTTATCAACATATGATGTTTTTCATTGCTTTTACACATTTGAAAGATCTAATTTGTATCTTCATTGTTTCATTCATGATTATTATACTAGGATTAATCTTGATGCAATGATATTTAGTAAATGTGATTGTGTTAAATTTACTTTGTAATTCAAATAATCCTCTTCTACCTAAATCATTCACATTAAACAACGAACATGGATTATATTTAAATAAACACTATTTTCTTGTACAGGTGTGAGTGTGGGTGTCGTTTATTCTTTCATAAAAACCCACACCCAATAAGCTAAACACATAAAAATCTAATAAGCTGTTTTGATTTTTTTCCGAAACTAGCTTACTTATTGCCAGTTCTTCTCTGCTTGCTGCATCTTTTTCGGTTTTCTGTTACTTTTTCCATGAACCATGTTTCGGCTTTTTTTGCCATGACTCGGATCACCTCCTTAGCACTTACGTTCGATGCATTCATAGTGTCTCTTTCTTCTTTGCAGATATCTTCACCTAACCATCGGAGAAATATATCTAAAGTTTTCATATCTATGGGTACATCTTGTTCGCGCATGTAGTCAAGCGCTTGACGCATTCGATTTTCTGTGCATGCATACGCAATAAATTCGTCGACATTAGCCAATTTGATTACTCTAATAGATACCAGTGCTTTAGCCTCAGTGACCAAATGCTCTCGACCTTTGACTTTGAAAGTAAGATTACCACCTGTATTAGTCCATTCGGTCCATACAACACCTTCACCAATACCAATTCGATTAAAATGAGTACCTACTGGGCATTGCTGTTCGACTTGTTCAGTAATTTTTGTCAGAGTATCCTGTGAAACTTCAGGGTTGTTGAAGTCAATTTCGATTGTGTAAGTTGGAAAATCGAAAATGTTATAAATAGAACGTTCATGCCATTTTATATTTGTCCACTCTTTAGGATTGAGCCAATACGTTCTTGAACCTTTATTCTGTGTTTCTTGATTATTTGTATCGGTTTTAGCTTTCGTTTTCGCCGATTGATTGACGATTTTGACTTTGAAGATAACAAACATGGTCGGAAGGCCGCAAATAGCTATATTTTGTTGAATATCTCCACCACACCATTCACCATAAATGACGATTCTGTCGCCATACTGGTAATGTTCACGAATAGTGGGACAATGCGGAAGAACATGAGCGCTGAAAAACTCATCTGCGAAAGGATAAATATGTTGAGCAAAATCAGCATGATCGTTATCTGGTGTGATCACGCGATTTCGTGATTGGCACCAGTAGCCAGAACTTTTCCGATATCCGATAGCTGTATTGGCGCCATGTAATTTAACCGTACCAATGAAATTCAATACAGGCAGTTGTTTGTCATGACCATCAGGTGAAGGGCATGCGTAATGGTGAGCATCAGTAATCGCCTGTCGAAATTGTGATGTTTCTGGGAAGAAAATCAGGGTGGCCATAAGTAAAAACAAGAATTGGTGTTGAGTAATAATAAAATATGGTTACTTATATGCTTGAATCACGTATTTTATACGAATCGACATTTCGATTATGCAATTACATGAAGCACTCGGTGAAGAAATTTCGCAAGTGATGAATACAATTACGAAACGGACGTGTGGATTTATTCAATAGTGTAAAGCATGTATGAATGATTAACGATGTGAAACAATGCTTTAACTGAAACTACAAGGCAATGAACCAGATACATGTGTTACGTGAACTTCGTTGAATAAAAATTGCTTTGTCAGGTTTTCCTTCTGGCGGTCTTGCTTTTATCGTACAAACTATTTTTGACATTTCAGTATTTAATATGCTCATATTGACAGTAGTGACATCAGTCTTCGAGCTGTGCAATTATGTTGACAAGATACACGAAGATGTTTCGAAAAAAATATTTTTATTTTCCATAAAAAGGGAACATGATCATTCATTATCAAAAAAAATTCAAAAATAATGATCAATGAACTTGTATTCTTAGTTATTAATTTATTTAAATGTATCTTATTGAATGAAACTCACATAATCATCCATGTAGTCAGCCAAGTCTCGAAGATCACTTCTAAGCTTTATGAGGCTTCAAATACCCTAGAATGGTGGCAAAAAAAGCACGATACTGTTTTGAAAGGTTGTGAGTGGGTGTGGAGATGTGGGCGAGTATGCGTATCCAGATCGTCTCTTGCCATCTCCTCTTATATCCCTCTCTATTATTATGAATAAGTCGCTTTTGGCTGATTAAGACTCATGCAAAATTCATCAACTCGATTGATAATACTGAGGGAGAACACAACCATTTGCAATAACACATACTTCTACAAAAAATCAAAAATATATGTTACTTCGTAAATAATATACAAAAGCGTTGCATCTTGCTGAACTCAGCTCAAATTTAACAAATAATGCACTACAACTACACATATCATGGCTGGATTATACATCAGCAGACAATCGACCTAACATATTTTCATTGCAACCAAACACAAACACTGGGATCGAATCTGGCATCATGAGCGAGCATCATTGGTGTTGTATTGGTGAACTTCTTCTACAAAGAAAAAGTCGCTGAGTAATTGTGACTAGAACCCAATCTTCTGCTAAGCTTATATTTGAGAGGCATATCAGTGATGAGATGCATTACGCAATAGTCGTACATATATTAACATGCTATGCATAGTAAAACTTCCGTGCGTTATGTGAGACTTCACATTCAGCATTACTCCCTAATAAACTAACAACACTAGCACACGCACTGTCACGTTTTCAAACTGGCATATTATCCTATCACTATCCTCAGAATTATCATATCTCTCCTCATAACCTCAATTGACTGCTACGATTTCGATTAGTATCTATAGATGCAATAATAGGTTTCAAAAATCCTTCTCAAGTTCCTTAAACTAGAGAATAACTTTCGTGATCTTTTACCTCTCATAGCTGAAATCATAGTCTTTCTTCAACAATAGATTTCGAATCAACTTTGTTTCGATTTTCTTTCTTTTGAAGTTAAGTCGTTGCGAGTATCATCTAATGATCACAGTTACGCAGGTGAAATGTTCACATTATGGTTGCTCGACACACCCTTTGGAGCTTGAGCTCTGATTTCAACAACTAGTTGAGAAAAAATGAGATGTAGTGTTTCTGAAGAGGCCAGTGAAGTCAGTTGGATTCTGATCGAAAGTCTCAAACTCTTCAAATCACATTAAAGCTGCGGAGTCAATATCAGTCTTATCAAGTCCAAGCCCACAGCATGGGGTTGTCAAGTCCCTACATTCATAAGATAGTTGACGCGCATGACATTTTAGAAAAAAAGTTTTGCTACTATGATTTTCGAAATGGCTCAGTTTAGTAAATTGAGTGCATCACTCTTAGCAACGATTTATATCTTCTCGAACGTAGCCAAATGTTCTTATATTGTTCGACGTTCGCCCTCATCGTCAAGAAAGTCACAACGTTTAGAGCAGAGATGAGTCATGTTCAGTGAAGTTTTCACTATGGTACGAACACCTCGTTCGGATGGAAAGCTGCTCATATCAATTTGATGTGTATAAATTGAGTTTAGTCTAGCCATTATATAATCCGCATGGATGGTATTGTTGAAGGATACAAAATCAGACGATATCTTCACGAACGGATAAATAATTGGTTTGGAGTTGAGTGATATCGGTTGGAGAAATATCACCCTTGGACGTTCCTTTGGAGAACGGTAACGAGTTATTATTGATGAGATATAATTAGGACTATTGATTAGGTAGTGGCGTTCTTAGGATCTTAGGACCACATTTATATTTTCTTGTATTTCATCGATAAAGAGATTATTCTGTGGGGAAAGTGACTCACATGTGGCTAGAACTTCATATAAGATGTTCAGTGCTGTTACGTATTGGCCAAGCTCGCAATGAAGCATTGCAATCGTCATCAATGGCCAACTTACATCAGGATGATCCGAAGTGTAGACTGTATTTTCCAGTTCAAGTTGTTGCTGTTGATAGTCTAGACTTTCAGAATACTCTCTCTCGATAAAATGAATGCAGCTGAGATACCGTAGACACTCGATTGTAAGGTGAATATTTGCTGGTGCTATACTCATCGCAATTGATAATGTATCCTTGCATATTTGCAATGCCTCTTCAACTTCTCTTTTCTTTAGAAGCAAGTTTACAATGTGCAAAAGCGTATTGACGATTCTAGGATGATTCTCAACAAGTAATTCCTGCTGACCAGCTAACTTCTCTCGGCAAAATCGCAATTCTTTGTCATAATCACACATCTTTTTATTCGTGTCAACAATGCGATATAAATCTTTTACCAGAGAGGAATGATCGAACGGTGAACACAATTCGGGGTGTGGATGTGTGAATGTGAGTGTAGATGTGGTGTAGATGTTGGCCTTACTCATATTCACACAGATCCATAGCTATGTCCACACCCAGCATCTCCCCACTCATACCCGCCACCTCCCTCTCCCCCACCCCACAGTCACAAGCTGATCAGATATTTAATTTTATGGTACAGCAACAGTTTCTTGCTTTCTTGCAAAATATTTGATGCGACATTTCTGCATCATTGTCTTTCATATCTACAACTAGTATCTTGAGCAATAGTTTTTTTTCTAATTCAAAAAGTCAACGTTGAAAAATGATACATTTATCTTTCGTTGGTGATTTTAACGATTTGACACAAAGAACTTCATTGTTTTCAATTGACAGACGTGGAGAAAAGACTTTCGATTCCTCGATTACTTCTTAATCATTGTTCACAGCATATCAAAAATTTCAAGTGTTCAATAAATCGAAATTCAAATTATTTTTAGCATTTGCCCTGCTTTACAGACAAATTTTGGAAATCATCAACTGCGCAATGATGAACAAGAAATGTTTTTGCTCGGGAAAAAATTAGAGCATTGAGATAACATCAGAATAATCGAATTAGAAACTTCTTATAGAACCTGATAGATATTCACTTTGTTATATTTGATTCACGAGAATCTGCTAGTCAAAATACGATAATTGATTCGAAACGACTTTATTATGTAATAGCTCGTTCACATTTATGATCAACAAGTGAAGGCAATGCTGATTTTCAAAAAGTCATCAACTTTGAAGAATGTGGAACTTTTGTACTCGGTGATTCTCATTGTCACTTGCGTAAAGATTACCGTCTCGATCGAATGACAAACCAATGGGGCAATTGAGTTGATCCGATTGACTTCCATGCTTATTAGCACCAGCGATGATGCTTCCCTGTGTGGCTCCCTGAGACCAACGTATTATTCGATGATTGCCACGGTCAGCCACATAGACACTACCTGACTGATCCATGAAAATTCCACTAGGATTTGATAATTGTCCAAGACTATTTCCTTGACCTTGATTGCCAGCCACAACAATGCCTTCCTTCGCATCTTTCACCCACTTTGTTACACGATGATTACCGTTTTCTGATACGTACACGGAGTGATCTCGATCGACGAATACGTATGTCGGATTATTCAACTGATCGAGGCGATTCCCTTGCCCATTTCCACCAGCAACCACTGTTCCTTGACCCTCTCCGATCCGATATCGTCTAACTTCATGATTATCGTAATCAACAACATAAAGAAATCCATCATCGTCGATTGCCAATCCGTAACATCCAACATTTGTGATGATTTTTTCTCCATTTGTACCATTTTGACGAGGCCATCGAACTACTCTTTTATTTCTGTAGTCACAAATAATGAGACTATCTCTTTCTTTATCAATACTTATATCTGTTGGACCGTTTAACTGATCAGGGTGGTTTCCGTATCCATTTCCACCGGCTACAATTCGACCAATCGTCGCATCATATTTCCATTCCATTATACGATGATTAGAGCAGTCAGCAATGTAAACAGTTCGATCATCGTCAACGTACAATCCACGTGGATAGTAGAGTTGATTCATCTTGTTGCCAAGTCCATTTCCTCCAGCTACAGTAAATCCACTCTGTAACCAATTTGTATTCGCATTCAGATTAGCATTGTGCAGAAATAATTCTGAAACAAAACACGGTTTCGTCTATTGATATGAGACTAATGTACGCTAATGAAAAGCAGAATTTTACATAGAGAACTTTGACCAACAGAGGGAGACAGAGAAAGAACAGTTTTATACACTACTCGAATCGAACAATGACTCAATGGTAATCAGGTTGCTTAAGTATTTTGTTTGAAGAAAAACCTAAGTGGGTTTATTGAACAATGAATAACATTTCAATCATCGCATTTACACTCGAGTTTTATCTTCATTTCATCGTCGTCGAAACCTTTTTCATGTGTTACAAAAATCTTGATAGCAAAGGTATCATTAATAATTATCACGACTATTCAAGAAAATTTGATAATGTCCCTTTTTTCCAATGAATATTTCTTGAAAATAATTCCAGCAAGGGGGAACAAACTGATTTCGTGATTTCGGCGATTTCAAATGATTTCAAGTGATTTCTATAAACAATTGCAGCATTTATTTTTCGTCATATTAATGAAAGGTGCTTCGTCTGTCTATCGGTAGTAGCGTAATTAGAAAACAATTAAACGAGTTTATGAATTTCACTGGAAAAAATCTTGATAAAGCAACCCAGATCGACGATCCTGGTGCTCGAATACAGCAGAAACCCGTCGAAAACGATCCATTTTCAGTCAAGTCCGACCGGTTTCAATGTAATTCCTTTCGGACAATACCTGAAAGATGGAAGCAGCATTCACACTGGAAAACAACAGTACCAAAGCCGGTCATTTCTGAACATTTTCCTTTACTGAAAGAATCACGTAACTATACTGGATCTGGAGGGGAACTAGAAGAACCCGTCGCAACCTCATCGGACTTAGTCGTATCCTCGTGGAACAATATCGGAATCAGATCTCATTTTCAAGAAAACATATCGAAAATAAATCGTATCAGAAAGATACCTTTAAGGATCTTTTTCCATTGAAACACGTATTTCAGCCTCAAAAATATATTGAAAATCGAGTAATCACTGGAAAAACATCTTTGAAAATATTTTTCGGCCAAATACGTGAGTTGAATACTGTTTTCAGAGTCAAATAGCTATATGAATAGAAAATGATCTTTAATAATGTTTTCCTACATTACTTGTGATTGGAGTACAAGGAGTAGACTCTTAATCAAGTATCATGGGAAAGTTATATTCTACAGCTTTTCTCGGGTTTCGATAGACTTTGGTCGATAGAAATTGCCATATGTAAGGTTACAGCTTGAGAGACTACTTAGAAACATATTTTTATTAGAAAATTATGTTGTGCCCGAGAGTTTTGATGCAAACTCTTGGTGTAGCATGGTGGGGGGAGGGGTGTTTAGGTGCGATTATCTTGCGGTAGGTGTGAGTATGAGTGGGTGTGTTGTCTTGATCCGAAGTTACACTCACATTCGTAGCAACCGCTTTTACTCCGCTGTTTTTCAAAGGCCTGGATGGTGTTGTGTTCGGCTTTGAAATTGTTCGATAAATATTTGAATTTTTTTTAATGATGTTGATTTCTGAGAATTTTTAATTTCTACTTGTCGCTTACCCGTATAGGTGTACAAAGTAACTATAGTTGTGGCTGCCAGTATCTACACAATTATCATTAATTTTCATGTTTGACTGTTTTGGTGGAACTTTGATTTTCAATTCATGTTTATTTTACTGCTACCTGCGCTGCGATTAGAATGAACTTTAGTGTAGTTTGTGGTCATGAATATAGGATGAAGACCGTACGTTAGTTAATAGTCCTGCTAGTCTGCTGTGAGATGGATCACAGTAGATTTGTGACTGTTAATGACACGATGCTTTCCAGTTATTTTTTCGTTGGAATAAATAAAAACTAAGTCTTTTCGAATATTACCTACATAGATTGCGATTCCTACGTTTTTAATGCTCATATGTACCAGGCGCACCTACGTACTAACAGGTGTTCTAGTGTTAGCGTTTCGGTGACTTTGAAGATCTTTTGTGAGGATGACATTACGGATGTATTATTATGAATATTTCACTGCTTTGTCAAGGGTGTTACTTTGTGTCTCTCTGCACAAGACTCATTCTGAATTGAATTCAATCGAACCTTCATGTGCAGATATAATTAAATTGTGCGGTAAATGTCTGCGTGTAAAAAATGTCATCGTTTTTTGACACAATGATCCGTTCAGAAAAGTGAATTATAATATGATTTTTAAGGACTTATTATACACTTGTAATCGATTATAATCTTTTCTTTGATTAGTTTTGCTAGTATTTTTACACGAAAAAGACACAAGAAAACCATCAGGAAAGGAGATTTGCTTTCGATAAGAATCACTGATTTATGAAATGAAAGCTAATGTCACCATAATGCTAAAAGGAATAGGTTATGGACAGCAATCTACCATCATATCCCATCGCCAGATCCGCACTCTACAGCCGATCATAAAACGATCAAGTCCCTGCTACACAATCGGGCCAGAAGCGTCAGTATATGAAACATATCTTGTCGTCTTGATTAAAACACGCGAACCATAGAGAACAATATCATTTGGAAACAAGTGATCGTATCCGAATATCGCTTCCAGATGCAGAAATTGGTGGAAACTAAGTCGGAACTGATTTAGGAATGCAACCTCAGAATCTTGCTAGAAATTCTCCGCAAATTGTTGTTTCCCGTCGTACATCTTTCACATGGGCAACGAAAATCAAGAAATCTAGAGAAAATGAACCGACAAAAGGAAAAGGGTTCGTTAAGAACGACGAAGATAGTAAGAAGCAGAAACGAAAATGTCTGTTCTTTGGTGCATTAAATGAGAAAGAGAACACCAAAAATGAAATAGTAGACAATAAATTCCTAGATGGTGAGGTTGAACGATGACCGAAGGATATCCAATCACATTTTACTCGTGTACAACGAGACACAAACTCTTTCCAAGGTTAGAAATCAATGGAAATCACTGGAAATGTGGAAAGTCATCCGAAATCATTTTAACGTTTTAAAAATACGAATAATGACTCAAAGTGGTTAGATCTATCAGGAACCATCAAAAGCCATTAGGAGCTATGGGAACTTATTAGAAATCAGTGGAAATCGCTATAAATCATAGAAAACCTTCATTAATAATGTTGAAAGTAAAGCGCTGATTTCTAATCATTTTCATTGATTTTTCTTGCCGTTGGATAATTGCCAATATTCCTAGTCATTAATCCTGATTTACAATGATCGCGCAAGGTTTTTCTTCATTTCTAAGTACTTCCTGTCAAGCTTGCCGATTAGAGGAGGGGGAGGGAGGCGATCCACTCCCGCGAAAAATTGAAAACATCTTCGATTTTGCCAAAATTTCTAATAGTTTCTACCACATTTTAAAAAATCTCCTGCTAAATTATGGCAGACGCTTGGTTTTTTAAGAACTATTCACCATTTTTCTGGCAAAAAGTCGAATAAAAACACTTTCTTTCAACAAAATCTCGCAAAAACTCGACGTATTCAGCATTATTTGTTCAGTTGCTGTCGGAAAGTCAGATGAGGCACTTTCTGTCCAATTTTTAGCCCCGCCCACTTTTCAAAACAATCGACAACCCTGCTTTCTATGATTCCTCTTGATTCGCGGTGAACAGATAATAACTGATTGCCAGTGATCGAAATCACTACAAATCGGAGAAATCAAGGAAATCAAGGAATCAGTTTGTGGTCGCTTGTTCGTGTATAGAACCATTTCCATCAACTACTTCATGAGTCATTTGATAGAATTATGAATTTCAATGTAAAATGGCTATAATCTGCATATGATGAATAATAGTCTCAGCACTTATCGTTAACAGTATTCGTTTTTTCGATAAAGTCAAGAAAAACCATATTAGAACTTGATACTCTTGTTGTTCTTTCATTGAATATAAAAAAATCCGTAAATTTGATAAATATACAACAGCAATGGTTGCTAATGAGTTCATGCGATTTCACGTGATGTCAAGCTGATTTCAAAAAATGAAATCAGCTTGTTCTCCCTTATAATTCCGAGTCTATGGGCTTTTTTATTTCAAACTGAATTCTAAAATCAAAAAAACCACACCAATTTCTTCCGAATCAAACTTTTCTCGCTTGATACTACGTAGTCTCACTAAAAACCCTTAGTCCC